AAAAAAAAAAGTGGCATAACAGTACACACCTTGACTTCACAACCACTTTTTTTATTATTATTACTGCTTTTTAAAACACAAACATAATTTTTTATTTCAATTTGTTCTACTTATTCTGAATCAAAAACATTTTACAAACCATCAAGTAATGTAAGACTTATTTGCTCAATGAGATTTTAGAATTAGATATTTTAGAACATTCTTTAAATATTCACACATGCAGGTCAGACTAATAGTAGTCTGGTCTACTCTAGATGAAACCTAAGACAATAGAAAATACAAGAAAAGAAGAAACTAAATTGAAACTCATACAAACACATACTGAAACAAAATTACTGTGGAGAGACACAAAACAAGTACACTTTTCTTCATTTTACTAAATCTAGAGATAATGCAAATTACCCTAAATAAAAATAAAAATGAAATCAATTTTGGCAATGTTTAACTTAGACACTTGCAAAAAGAAAAATGTGTCAGATATTTGTTTCTCTTGGTACCACTATTACTGTATATTCCATCAATGTTTGTTGTACAAAACTATTTTTTGAATTTCAATAAAAATGTTACATACTGTTTAGTTGGTAGTTTATTTACAAGATTAGTTTTATATCCACAAGATTATAAAAATATGTGAATCAATTACCATGCAATATTTATTATTTACCATTGTATAATTAAAAAAAATTCCTTTTATTAATAAATTTATGAAAATGTCTAAACTATAGAAGAAAAATTAAAAAACATTTTTCAGGATATTCTACATTTCTTTCTCAGATTATTTCTTGTTTTAATTTTCCAATTTTTGTTATTATTTGTGATCTAAGATAAAAGATTCCTAATCAATAGAAAAACCAAAATTGGAAACTCCAGCAATTATAGGTTAAACTAGATATTTTTTTAAAATTGTTGTTAATTTTTCTAATTTTCATTAAACACAACTAGAAAATCTGCAGATAGATTATCTCTTGTCAGCTAAGTGATGACTGATGAAGAAATGGACATTAACCACCTTGACCAAAGCAATTGGTGAAGTCAGAAAATTGTGTTATTCAGAATGGTTGGTAAATTACCAATCAATTCAAATACCAATGTCAACTGAACAGAAAGGATAATAGTGGACAAGTACATATGGAAAAGTAATTCATGCAACAAAAATAACATCTATAAGAACAGGTCTTTGGGAACTTCAATGTGGTGTTAACAAGTTTCTCACTAGATCAATTACAACTGAATAGTAAGTTTGATCCACACTGGGTATCCAATACTTTTGGCATTGCCACATCTAAACTATGCTTAGTAAATCACTTTTAAGAGCAGTTTCTTTTTACTTAAATTCCCCTAGGTCAGATCTCACACAAGTGACCCTCTTTATTTACTTTTAGAACAAAAATATGTTAAAGCCATATTTGCAGAGTATGACCACTGCAGTAAGGAATGCTAAGTACATCTATTATGCAACAAAGTTGTTAATGTGGATGAAACCTATTTCAGGAGAAAATATAAGAGGAAGGGCACACTAAAGAGTGGATATTCAGTATGGTTGAAATAGACTCTTGAAGATGCCTTATCCAATTGCAGAACATATTTTACCATGAATATATATAATTTCTCTTGGTTGTTTGAATTATCCCCTTCAAAATTTAAATTTTGTAATTATACTCAAGGAAAACTTTGTTCACCCAAGGAGATACACACTCAAAATAGTGTTTGTGGTCTTACCTAAAATTAAAAGAATGTTTGGTTCAGAGGAAGAGATGCTCTCAACCTATTTTAGTGAATTTATATGGCAAGAGCAAATGAAAGAAAAGACCAGAAAATCCATTTTACAAAATTTTTAATTAGTTACTTGTCATTATGTTTATTTAAATTTTCTTGTTCTGACAGTTTAAAAAAAAAAAAAAAAAAAATTCATTCATAAAATGGTAAAATCTGTATTGTAGTCTATTTACATATTTATACTTTTATAAATATCAAATTACTCTTGCAAATAAAAAATTTAAGTGTTTAATATCAATTCTCAAGAATAAAAATATATAAATCTATTTTCATGTTTTGGTTTTATTAAAATTCTAAACAACTTTTTAAAAACAATAAACATTGTACACACATATATATATTAACAGTATATTACTAACATATTTCCAGTACTTTGCTAAATTTTAGCATAATTTCAAAGTATAACTGATTTAGAAGCAAGTAATTAAACAAAATTATATTGGTTATAGCTCAAATCTTGTTGGTACCATTCAGGTCACAAAATTAAAGTATAAAGTTCAGCAGTGAACAGTTCAAATATTTCATAATAAACATTACTTCCATTCTATCCTGTCCATTACAGATTTTAGACAGCAATTTTCTTTGAAATATGTTCCTCATAAGACTTTATACTGTTTAAGCAATAAAAGCAAAAGTCACTAGTTAAGAGTTTTTTTTTTTTTAAATCTTCACTTTCAAGCGGAAGGGTTTTAGAATTTAAAAATCAGTTTTCTTTAAACCAAGACCAATTGGGATATGAACACTTCAGTATAAGTTTAATTAACAATCTAGTCTGGTTGGTATTTACTATTCGGTACCCAAACTTAGTAAATAACACCACTCATAGGAAAAACTTCAGACACAAAATATTCAACTGTAGAAAATTTCAATTTTAGCATCTCCATTCACCTTTACAAAAATTATATTTCCAATTGAATCATGAATTTCACATTTCAATAAATGTAGTGAGCATTTTTAAATTCAAAAGAAACTTAATCCTTAAATTAAGTTTAACTTCTTTTTATCAATTTTTTTTTTTTTGCTGGTTTTCAACACTGAGTCTAAAGCCAAAATTAGTTTAGATTTAGAATTTTTTGTGATAATGATTTTTTTCAGATACATGTCTATTTAACACCTAGCTAGGATGAAATAGGATTCAAAACTTTCCCCAAAGCTATTTGTACATAAGTGAATGCAACAAAGGTGGCAAAAATTCAAACTGCTTTCAGATGGCAAGGAAATATATAACATCATTTTGTCAATTTTGATATCTAGATGCTTTAATTCAGAAAATAGTGACACAATGTAATTCAGGGAAAAATAAGTAACTTAAAACAGTCATTACAATGAGCAATGTTTATTAGCAGATATTTTTTTCCAGAGAGAGAGAGAGAGAGAAGGGGGAGAAATACCAGACGATAAGGCATAACACACATTAACTGTAAATTGTAGGTTTTTGTTGCTGCAAGTGGTTATAGCCCTGATTATGGAAGTAGTTAAGAAAAAGATCCATTTATCCAGTTCATACAGAAATACCAGGTTTTCTGAAGATATTCTGTCCTGAAATATTAGTGACAGCCAATAACTTTAAATATGGTTAGAAAAATGTGGAGGGTTTGAAAATGAGTGCTTTTGTTCAGTATTCTTTGGAGGTGGTACATGGGGAAGAAAGGAATACATGGGGGAAGATCCAGTTTCTCAATTTTTTTGTTTTGTTTTGAGTATCAAAGTAAATTTTGTAATTTCTATTTTACAAAAAAAAAAAAAAAAAAGAAAAGCTAGTCATTACAGCATAACTGACATAAGCCATGTTGATATTTGTACACTGCCACTGCCTATTTGACATCTCCAAGGTTATATTTTTTGTAACATTGAAAATGTAGGTGCCTCTTAGCAAATTATACCAATAGAAATCACACACAAACTTATCAAAATATGAATAAAAGATTTATCTTTAAATAAATCCTAAAACAATAGATTTTTCAAAATGATAGCAGTAGCAATATTCTTTGGATACAAAATGTGGCAGTGGGCAGGCCTTAAACCATCTCAAGGGATCAAATGAATAACCCAAATTAATGAAAGGTAATTCTCAAGAGATACCTTAAACAGAGAAAAACTAAACAAAAGAGAATTTCACTAAGACACATTGAAAAGATTATAAAGATTAAATAGTTATCAAATTAGAACTAAGTGGCTAAGATTTTGTAAATTAAATATAAAAAAAAAAAAACTTTTTTCAAATATTTCTGAAGTTCTGTACACCATACTACTTTTGAACATCTACAATAATGTAATCCTTAGCATTATACATATTTACAGAATTGTTATAGACTTTTGCTAAGATAGTCTGGAAATATAAAAATATCATGAGCAGTTTTGAAAATATCAAAAAATTTCTTCCCTCCACCACATTAGGCACTAATTTATTCAGCTATAATATACTACTAAAAAACATCTAAAAATTGGAAAGTAGATTTATGCACTAATTCTTACTAAAAGGATTAAAGGTCTTGGTTAAACTATTATTCAAGATTATTTGCTTAGACAGTAAGTTGAAGTGACAGGCACAAGTTGTACTGCCAAAATATGGCAGGAATATGAGCTATTAGGAATGATCAGCTGAAATAAATCATGTTTCAGCCAGACTCTGGTAAAACATGGGAACAAAATTATAATACACATAATTACACAAAATAAACCAAATATGGTTGATGCAAAACCTTAATTCTTAATGTAAACTACAGAATAGGGATGGATCACAAGGCAGTATACAACACTGCACATAAAAAAAATTAGAAATTAACATTGAGCACTTTCATATTTAGGAAATGCACTGAAAATTGAGATAAAATAGCAGACAAAATCTGCAGAAGCAGAATTCAATAGCTTAAAGTAATGAATGTCCAGAGCACAAGATACAAAAGGCATCATGAGGACACTTTATTGGATAGCAAAGAGCTTACCAATGTTGCATTCCATTTCAGCTTGGAAAACTGGCAACTGAAGACTAAACTCACTTCAAGGCACACAGTTTAGGCAGTTGCTCAGGTAGACACATGCATGCACACACACACACACACACACACAATCTTCCGGCCGGCTGCTTCAATCAACAGTTTTTTTTCCCCCATTTTTTTTTTTTTTTTTTTTTTTAAATAGTCTTTTTATTTGTAAATATGTACACGTGATAACAAAAGATAGGACAACACAAACTTCACAAGGAATTTTCTTAGTTGGAATAATTACAAAGAAAGAAAATGATGATGCTGGTGTGGTTGTCTTTGGCAAGAAATGCCAAATTTTACAGTTCTGAAAAAGAAAAAAAAAATAGGAAGGAAGGAAGGAAGGAATCAAAAATTCCAATTAAAATGTTTACAAGAATGTAAATTTCAGGTGGGGGGAAATTTCTTTTTAAATGGTACATCACAAAACATAACCAAGTGAGCAAGTAAAGCAGAAAAATGTGCAATTTGAAAATGTTTGTATCCAAGACTTCAGTATGAACAAGTTCAGCAGACATTCTATATAATCTGCTGCGACTGCCAGAATTTCAAGATATTTCTTTTCCAATCAGTTTTACAAAAATTATTTTAGAAAAGAAAAAAAAAAACTTGACATCCTCATCAAACATACATATAGTTGCTGATAAGAGTAATAAAACATACCCGTAAAATTGAAGAAAATTTCTTCAGTTTGGTTACATTCACACTGCAACCAGGACTTTCAAGAAATTGGCAGAAGCAGCAGAGAGAGAGAGAGAGAGAGAGAGAGACATACACAAAAATGCCATAATTTCAAAATTGGCAGGAGATAACAAGAAAAAAATTACAAAAGACATTTAAATTTTTAGCACAATAATGTGAAGCTATTAAAAAAAACACAAAAAAAAAAAAAACTTAGAATTTTATTTTCAGTTTTTTTTTGCGATGAACAAAGCTTAATTTTATGCAAAATGGTATGCTCTTGAATGTTTTGTTTTTTTTTTTTTTACGGGAAAAAATAATATGAAAGCAGCATAGGAAAAAAAATAAATAGCGTTTTGAAGCCAGCTGGATACCATTTTATTGTTATAGTTTGATAGTAGGCAAGGATTCCTGTGAATAAGAGTTTCAGTGGGGTTGAAATAGCCATCAGCTGATTAGGAAGGCACCAACATAAAGATATATTAATAGAAGGGATGAACCACCAAAAAAAAAAAAAAAAAAAAAAAAAAAAAAAAAAACAATTTCATGTTCTCTTTAATAAGTCTTTGTTGCACTGCGTGTAATTTTTCAAATAAAAAAATAGGTGAACTTTGTAACAATGTTCGAGAAATTAAAACTGCAGAAAACTGGTGTACACCATGTATGTTACTAAACATGCTTTTGAATATTCAAGTGTGAAGTAATTAGAGGTTTGTCTGGATGATCAATAAAATATTTCCGACAAGATTCAACCAGTTTTTCAAACAAAAACAAGTTCTGCACATTTCTATTTTATTGGTGAAAATAAACTCAAAACCCAGCTAAGTAAGAAGAGAGCCAGCAAAAGAAAATTAAATGTCACAAAATAGTTTATTCTTTCTTAAATTCATGCTTTGCCAGTTACAGTCTACTTTTGTTTTGTTTAGCATTTAGTATCATATTGCTTCTCTTATATACCAGTCTGATTAATGTTAGGATAATTTTGGATGAAAAAAAAAAAAATTCTCACATGAGAAAACGCTGATGCGTACATACAGTGCTGTCTTATTCAGGAGGTTGTCAAAAGAAAAAACTCCCTATGTTGAGATTACAATTGTTTATACTTGCCTTCATCATTCAAAAGACACTGCCTAGTCGAAAACAGATTAATAGCTCTTCTAGTTATTTCATTGAATCATTACACTATCTACAATATATACAAGCAGGCAGATCAATTTTTATTTTTAGATGTTTCAATGCAAATAATGTTATCTTAAAGTGTGAGGTTTACAACTATTACAAGTTTATTGCCAGCACATATTATGAATACATCTGTAGCAACAATGAAATTTACCAAATTCCCCTAGAATATACTGCAAAGCAATTGTTCTTAATATGAATAAAATTAACTGAATTTTCAAAGTAAAATCCAAAGAAAATAAGGAAACCTTAGTTTCCTTAAAAACTAAGTTCTATGCATTCTGCATTTTTTCTTATCTAAATTTCTGCCAGGTACTTCTCTCTCTGTCTCTCCCATATCAGATAAACTTAGGGAGATTGTCATGTCATTAATTCAAAGTACTAAGAATTGCAGCATGAAAATGAGCCCAAGTTATGCAGATTCAACCAGACGAATGAAGTAAAATCTGTTAATGAGTACCAAAATCTGACAAAACGCTCTTCAGTCCAACATTTTAAAAGAATCTTAAATTCAGACCTCAAAAAGGCAAAGAAAAAAGGGAAGGGAGAATAGTTTGTCACAACAAACCTCTGAAAGAAGCCAGCAGCTGCAGTGATTCAGATTATGCAAGTCAGGAAGGTTTCTACACACATTGTTTTTTGTTTTTTTTTCGTTTTTTTTTATTGGCTTCAAAATGAATTGGTGCTTGGGAAAAATTTTTTTAGTTGTTATGTTTGTAGTAGAGAACCAACAATTTTAAAAGATGATGGGCCAAAAACACCCTTTCTCCTTTTCACTTTTAAGGAGAATGTAACCATAGCAACAAAATTATCCTTCTTTTTGGCAATAAAGTTCTTTTAATGATTTCAGTTCTTCTATCAAGGTTTTGTTTTGGTTTTCAAGGACAGACACACGATTCTCCAAACATTTCACATATTCTTTTTTCTTCCGCCGACATTCTGAAGCAGCTTCTCTGAAAAACAAAATTTAAAACTTTAAAACACAGTCTCACATTCCTAACAAAGTGAAATATAAGCAACTATAATTAGCATGCTAATTTAACTTTTCAAAATCTATCAAGCCGATACAGCAGAGTTGTAGGTAAATAAAATTGAATAATTACCTCTAGCTACAATTTACTTGAACATAAATGATAAAAATTACTGCCCTATATTTGTTACACTTACAGCAGTTGTTCCCAACCTTTTTGTGCCATGGGTTCCCACAGAACAGTGTAAAAAAATTTCCACAAGTTTTCCAGGACTATGCTAAAAAGTTTCAAGGACTGAAACTTGCACGTGCACAAACACACACACAATGTGAATGGTCATCAATATCAAAAACACAAACTTTATGATTTATTGTTTAATAATTTGACAGATGAGATGTTTAAAGAAAAGCTACAGCTGGTTCCAATAATTCATGTCATATGGATCAGTTGAAAGCAGTGAAGAAATCAAAATGTTAAAGACTAAAACACAACTGAATGCAGACCTGGTTATGTTACACATTTTGTGCAGCATTCTACACAGTTTGAAGTTGTACTACACTTGAAAATTTTGAATTACACACTTTAATTTTTATTACTACACATGGTTTGTGAATGTCACAAAACTTCTTGACTGCTGCACATTTTTTTTTAATGAACAGAAGTACAAATAGAAATTTTCACAAAAGGACTACACATTTTAGCTACCCCTACTACTTATGGCTTTTGTTGCACATGGCACAAAACACAACATTTTTTTTCAGTTCATCTAGTTTAGCATTCAGCTACTCTTCCAATTTTGATATCTATGCATTTGTCCTTTGCAGATCTTCGCATGGCACTGGACTTTGTGATAAGTGTGAAGTTCTGAGTCTGCTCTGCATAGCTGTAAGTTGAGCAAATCTTGTCTACAACTTTCAAGTTTGTATCTTTTGGTCTTCAGTTCTTCAATTTCTATAAGCATGGATTTCTGTTTTTGCCCAGTTGCTTCTTCTTGCCTTTTTTCTTCTCAACCTCAAAGTATTGGTAACCAGAGTCTGCAGTCTCATTGTCAGGGGAAATTTCCTTATTGACCAAGAAACATGTCCATGGAGTGCCAGCAAACAACTTTCCAGTTTTTGGTATTCTTTGTTGCTAGACAAAGAAAAGTAGAACAAAGTGTCCAGACAGTCTTCATATTTGCTGAATTTCTTGAAAGCAATATTTCCAGCAGCCTCCTCAAACTCTTTGAACCAACTGATGATGTTATCACAATCAGACTTGCTGACTTGTTTTTTGTCCATCATGTGGGAGACATCTTTTTAGACTGTCTTCTGTGACAGATTTTTTTTTCACAAATGGATCCAGGGTTTAGCCATGCAAGTAAACTTACAACAGGGTATCTAAGGGGAGACTTTGCCAGAAGTTTTTTAATGATGCTGATGATCATCTTTGTTGCAATTCTGCATGCAAACAGATCTTTTGTTGACACATTTCTTTTGGATAAATTTTGCATAACCCTATCTGCCAGAAAGCCACACTCAATCTTTGCAGCATCTTTGTGCATGTTTGGGTTTAACAAAATTCTTACAAATTCATTCAGTTTGGAAAATTTAATCTTAGAATGCTCTTCCTTTATAAATCATAACAGTTTTAAGATCATGCTAAAAAGATTATCCGTAAAAAGGAAGCAACAGTTTATTGCTCTGATATTTTATCAGAAATGGTTCAATGTCTTTTGAAACAGACACAAAAATCTGCAGTTTCATTGGAAATAAAACATCATTCACATTTGACAGTTTTTTGTTTTTTTTTGCACACTAAGCAGTTGGCTTTCCATTTTGAACCATCTGCGGACAAAGCTAACCAGTTCTGATATTCTTTTTTTAGTAACCAAGCATCACTGAACACACAATCACCTTTCTCCATCTTTACTGAAAATAGAAATACTGTGATATACGAATAAGGGTTTTGGTTTATATATACTCCATGCATAAGTTAGAAATACAAAATTAAAAGGGACAGGGTTGACAGATTGAAATTTTAATATAAAACCAAGCAATAAAGCCAAATAAGTTTTAATATATTTCATTTTTTCACACTTACAAGAGCTAGAGATACAGTCCATTATTAACCTGCAAACTTTAAAAATAACATTCTTCTTATTTTTTCAAAAGATGCATTTTCTATCCTAAGGCACATTTTCTATTCTTTCATCTTTCCTGCCTACATTTTCTTTAAGCCAAATTTGATTCTCAAACTTGTTACCTTTGGCAACAATTTAAACATAGATACACATTGATATGGATGCATAAAGTATCTTTATTTTTTTTTTTTAGCATGAACTCACTCACCAGCTGACTAGACATCAAAAGGACTTTTCACTTTGAGATTTGGCATTTTGACCTTCATGAATTGCGAAAAAGGATATGTGAGCAGCTAACTTAGAAAAATTCGAGGACTTTTCAAGGTTTCCAGGACCTATACAAACTCTACTCCACAGAAGGTGGTGGACACTCAAGCACAAAGAAATAAACAGATACTATATGTTTCTTGTTACCCCTTAAGAGTTGACCAAACATTGATATTTAACAATATATTGGGTGGGCCCATAAAAAAATGAACAAAACAAATTGAAGCCAGTATACCCACATTGCTATTGCTTACCTGTTTTTTAACAAGCGTAATTCTCTCTTTCGTGCTGCTTCTTCTGATAATTGTTGTGGGCTGGCAATTGCATTTCCTGTGGCCATAACCACTTGTGGTAGTGAAGTGGCAATTTGATATGCCTGAACATTTGCACCACCGACTGTAACTAAGGAAAAAATAAATCAGGGATATTTTCAAAATTAGGGAACTGTTAATTTTAATTAATATTAAATACAAAAAGATTTTTTTTTTTTTTTTTACATGCATCAATGATAAAAACAGCAAGTTAGACATTTTGCATTCACAAAACTAGTAGTATTCCTGTATATTTAATTTTTGTAACTATGAATCAGGAACACAAGAGAAATTAGCTCATATCTTTTATAAGGAAGTCCCAAATGAAAAAGTTAATGTAAATTTATTGAGTGCTTACTCAAAGAAACAAAAAATAGGGGATTAGATTTTCAAAATATTCAACTGAAGAAGTTAAATTGAAAAAAAATAGTAAAGAGGACTCTCCTGAAAAGTTAAACTTGCACAACATTTATTTAGCAAACTAAAGAATTTAAGATGACTCACTTGCTTGCCTCTTAACACTAGCGATTTTCATAAGGTAGTTTTGACCAGTGTTTTAGAAGCCAATGAAAGTGGGCATAAAAGATCAATACCTAGCGGCAATAGTTTGTTTCATGCATTTTTAGGCTTGAAAATGACATGACCTGAAGATTCTGTTAAAGCATGAATGTTGCCGTTTGGTGTTGACCTGAATGCCCACTTTTATATTGGCATACTATCTCTGATACTGAGTACTTTTACCCATAAATACAGCATATCATATATATATATATATATATATATATATATATATATATATATATATGAGAGAACCTTACCTGGAATAAGAAACTGTCCATCAGGACCTTGAGCATACTGTACAATGGTGGCTGTACCTGGAGTGGCACTGGCACCTGATGATGGGTTGGCATTAGTCATTGTTAGTGTCTGCAGACCTTGTCCTGCAACTGTTCCTTCTGGGTGAGTAGTTATTTGGATGGCACCAGATTGGACTAAAGCTGAAACATAAGAGCAAATAATGCTCAAAATTAAGCAATGAGGCAGCAAGCATACCCTTGAACAATAGTACCATTTAATTATCCAGTAGAAACTAGAAAATTAATTAATAATATCACCTGAAATGGTTTAGTAACATTAAGTAAAGTAGTTAATTTGGCGGGGAAAAAAAAACAGCAAAAATATAAGAATCCATTACAGGGGAAATGTAAAAAACACTTGGGAAGAAAAGTTTTATTAAACCACATCAATAAATATTAATAAAATGTTAATATCATATTGGCAATTAGCACTGGGATGGTGCTATATTGTCAACATAAACAGGGAATAAAACAAAGCATTTAAATTTGCTTATACAAAATGAATGCTTATTCCCTGATTAAACAAACTAAATATATTCCTTTAAATACAGTATGAAACCTGAGTAACTGTTCTACAAACATTCATTAAAAAATACAGATACATCAAGTCTAACAAAAGGTTAGAACTTTCAATAGATAAACCTAATTTCTACCAAAGAGCAAAATATTTTGATGATATTAAATCTAAGTCTAAATGCATCTACATTGAAAGAAGGATTTCATGTGCATACAGAGGCAAGGTGCAGCCGAAGTATCTAAAGGTGCATTCACATTGCTACGCTAAATACATGCATGTGCTTAAAAACAGCATGCACATCTTAAAGTCATTAAATAATCAATAAGTGAAGAATTATCAGTGGTTTACACACTATTTCATAATGAAATAATTTATGTATAAAACTAAAAGCTTGAAACAATCTTTTAAGTGTTTATTATACCAAGTTACAGTAAAATTGTAAGTGATATTTTGTTATTGATATTCCTAGAATTTTGTGAATTTACAAACCTTTTTTTTTTTATACATTTTTGTAAGATTTTTGTCAATTAAACATCTTGGTAATTTACTTATTTTTTTCAATTGTTAAGGATTACAATGGTTAAAATTCTTAAATAGAAAACATTAAAATGAGTAAGCCTATATTTCTTTACAAAAATGTAAAAGAGTTGTACTAAGAAAAAGTAATACAATACCAACCTAAGAACAAAACTAGCAACAACCAACAAAGACAGAAAAATATCAGAGCCCTATCATGATATACTGTAACTAGATACCCTCCAGTCTAATTTACAAAAAAAAAAAAAAAAAAAAAAAAAAAAATCACAAAAATATGGTAATAAAATTGTTTAAAACATGCAATTATTTCGATAAATCTTACATATAAATGATAATTTAAAAAATGAAAATCAGTAGATTTAAGCAAGATAAATTTGTAATAGTTATACAATTTAGCAATTGAGCAAAAGTTACTGACTGGGTTTGCTTTTATAACTGGAACTATCTTCTTAGACATGATAAGGTTATTTAAAACATATTTTTATTCATATAGGAACAATATCACAGAGTAAGCAAAAACCTTGAATTATTTATCCTCACTAAGATAACTGCTAGTTATTAATCACTGAATAAAATTAGATTCAAATTGATATCAATCAAAATTGGTAGTATAGTGAAATCAGTTATTTGTAAGCATTGCTGACACAAAAAGTTATAGAAAGATTTTGAATAAGACATACTAGAAATTCTCTTACTACTTTTTAAATAAATCTCAAGAACTTGTATGTTCATACTGCCTTTAACATATTTACAATTTTAAATCCCATATTAACATGCAATACAAGAAAAAGTTAATACTTTAGTGGAAAACATGAAATACTAAAAATAAATTAATTTGTTTATTTAGAAATGCAATATACAAAAGAAATGTTTTAAATTACTTTAAGATTGTTAATTTTATCTTTAATAAAAAAAATACTAGGTATACAAAAATCTGTTGAGCAAGAAACACATTTCAAGGTTATTTTACATAGCTACCAGGAGATAGGTAAAGGGTAAGCAGACATAATGGGAAGAACACTTCATTAAACTCTTAAATTCACAACAAATAACTGGGAAAAATTATGGTCTCACAGATTTCAGCAAACTTGACAGGCAGAATAAACAGCCTATGGGAGGTTGGAAACAAGCTGATATTCTGCTAAGAAAACTTATACATCCAAATCCCAATAAAAATAATTTATTCTTTATGCTATATTCAGATACTCTCAACTTAAAATGTAACTACTTCCTGAAAAGTAGAAATTTTTATTCATTGCAAAACCATTCAAATAAAAATCTTTTGGTCATACTTCTTTGATGACATTTTAATTACCAATAGTACCTCAATGAAAAAATATTTTGACTAACAAGGCATCAAAATACAAATCCTTAACAACCAACACCATTCTAGTAAGTAATTAGCATCAGAAGAACTTTAAAAAAAAAAAAAAAAAAAAAAGACACACAAATAACAATGCCAATTTGATTCCCACTTGACCTTAAATACTGAATATAGCTACCTACCCTGAAGCTTATAGACAAATATTTTTCATGAATATATATTATAAAGATAATTGTGATGAAGATACCAGCACCAGAAGAATGAAACTAAGCAGTGGTCAAATGTAACTGCAAACTACCATGCAACGATAATATAAAAAGGCAATTAGAGCTATTTCTGAAGTTTCATTTTAGGGAATAAATAAAATGTCAATCTAAAGTTGCCAACCATTCAGCCTGTCTCTCTCTGCCTGCAGGCCTGCCTAGGAAGAACATCCCACAGGTCAATCCAGCATAATTTGATATGTATTACACATACTTACGTACAAAGTCATTTAGAAATATACTTACGCAAACCATCCATCTGGCCAAGGACTAAAAATTGAAGGAAAGAAAAAAAAAAAAAGCAAAAAATCAAGAAAAAACAAAAATGAGCATTCAACAATGTTTGAATTATTTTTTTTGCTATTGTTGAAGATATTTTTGTTTGAGAAAGAGGTCTCATGTTCCAAGATGGAAGTTCACATATAAACATGTAATCAATTTATTGAAAAGTGTTCTTAAGCAACAGTACTTGGAACAATCCATCTACATAGTTATGAAAGGCAACCTTTTGCAAAAAAAAAAAATAAAATAAAAAAATAAAAAAAAATAAAATAAATCAACTTGGAACATCCATCTTAGAACTGGCTACGTGATGGTAGTATCAATAAATGACAATTACATTGGGTCAGGACTACCATAAAACATTAATGTGGTAACTAAGTTGTCAAAATCTTTTTTTAAACAATAAAGAAATCATAAGGGTAGGCAAAACAATTGAAACTAGATTAAAGGATTTGGTGTGTAGGGTGGGGGGGTCAAGCTTTAAATTTTAGAAAATTATCAACTTTAGAGGAAAAGAAAATTAATTCCAATCATCTATGAATGCCAATGATGACTTTATTTACAGAAAATCTGCTGTAAATCAAATAAAATGAAATGGGAACTACTGCATCAGTTACAACCTAATCAGTAAATTTTTATTTTTGCATTTAATAAAAAAAATAACCATAATTACCAAAATGTTAGTCAATTATGGATAAAAGCATAAAAAAAAAGTTTGCATATTAGATGACCAGTCTCTTTCTAGCGGTACAAAACTGCACTGCACTTTAATTTCTAAAAGAAACAAAAGAAATACTTTCAAACATTATGGAACATTGTTTTGTTTTTGTTTTTTTAAAAACTGTATCCAACTGTCAGCAAAAAGCAAATCATGCAAGCAACAAAACTAATCAATGTACTATAAGCAAAAAATCAGCAATAGTAAAGATGTTATTCTTTAAAACTGGCATCAATTAGCATCAATATACCAAACTTGGTTTGAAAACACAATACTAACTTTCCAGAATATCAAATGCAATATACAAGTATTTACCGACTTGACTACTGCATTAGCTTACTATAACAGGGTGTAAACAAAATAACTACCACATTTAAAATCAAAGCAAAGAAAAGCAAAATAATAAAAGATATTTTTTTTTGAACAGTTAAGTATCCACAGACTGTTTCTCCACATTCACCAGAATAGTTTTACGATTTTTCAGTAGAACATTGCATCCACACATTACTCCTACATTGTCAGAGATTTTAGAAAATTACCTAATTGATATCTTGGGAGAGTGGAACAACTGATTTGAATAAAGTAAAGCCCCCTGATATCATATCATCAATAAATTTTTTTTTTTTTGGACCAAATTAAGAATGCAGTTTACAATAGAAAACCAAAAACACTTCATGTTTTTTTTATAAGTGTTTCACCCCAAGCAAGGCAGGAAGCCACTATCACATGAGGGGTTACAGAGAGTTGGAGCTAGAGCAAATAGGAGTGATAGAGGAAAGGATGAAGAGAAGGAGAGGGGATAGATCAGGGCATCTGGAGACGTCAATTGACATTACATTTGAATAGTTGGAGATTATAGCTATCAGGGAAACAGGAAGAGGAGAGTGAGTTCCACAGGTGAGAGGTGCAAGACATGAAGTAGAAAAGATGGCTACATTTAACAGTTTCGACAGTGAAAAGGTGTGAGCGAGATGCCAGCCTAGTAGAATGCTTAAATTCATGAAGTTTGGGAACCAGCGAAAGCAGCTCCTCGGAGCAGTTACCACGATAGTCTCATTGAAGAAGAAGGAAGTTCAATAACACCTGAAATGTGGCAAAATGCTATTCAAACCTTTCATGAAAGATTGAAAATTTGCATCAACAATAGTGGCTGATCTGTTGAAAAGTATTAATTTATTAACTTGTTAAAAATATAAAAAAAAAATTCCTTTGTATTTCATTTTGCTTTTCTTCTATTTTGGCTTTGATATTTGATAGTTATGTATTTATGCTAAGTATAATTGTAATATCACTTAATGCCTCTTGTTCAAGGAAGGTAATTCTTAATATTGTTACCCTGTTAATATGAGTGTTGTTGAGAATAAACAAAGAAAAAAATGAAAATTTGCAAAATAACCTTAATACAGGTATGTTTCGAATTAAGTCATTCTCAATTATACGTCAATTGCCAAAATAATATATGGAAAAATAAAAATCAAGTTTAAGTCATTTTATTCGACTTTACGTCTGTCTGCCACAAATATTAAAGTCGTAATATCACTAGGAAAGCATTAAAAGCACATAAAATCATGTTACTGTACAATAAATAAGTATATAAAATCATATTAAAATATGTACTTTTACAGTAAATGTTAATATAATCATCATAAATCTTAGAGAAGGAAATATGAAAACACCTGTGACTCTGTGTTGTAGTTTTATTTAGCAGTCTTTAGCGTTTTCTACAGTACTTCCAATATCTACAATTGTCAGCACCAATCACGAGTTCCACGAAATTGAAATCCAGTTTAGTTTAGGCATACACACAGTATATGTCTGCTTATCACCTACTCTCTCATTCATTTGTGACTTTATATTTTGCCCCAATGGCTCCTAAGAAAATTCCTAGTAAAAGTGCTAAGCATCATGCTAGAACACTAGACAATAAACTTACTTTGATAAAACACCATGCAAAAGGTGAAAAAGTTATATCAATTACTCAATCTTTTGCAATGAGTTGGACAACTGTATCAACAATCGTTCACAATAAGGATAAGATTTTGGCACATATCAAATCTGATGCACTAAGTTGAAGAATACTGTTATCAATAAGAAAGGAGGAAAAATCTTTGAAGAGATGGAATTTCTTTCTCTTTGGATTGATAGGTTGAATCAACAGAGTGCTGCTATTAGTTAAGAAATCATTCAAGCAAAAACGCTGTCTTTGTTTGAAAACCTGAACAAAAAATACCCAGATGAGAAATATGTCGAGTTTAAAGCAAGTCAAGGCTGGTTTATGAGATTTAAAGAATGAAGAAATTATCACTATTAAGAAGCAAGGTGAAAGTGCATCAGCTGATGAACAAGCAGCATCTATTTTTTCTAAAACATTGGCTAAGATCATCGAAAAAAAACAGGTTTCTTCCTGAACAGATTTTTAATGTTGACAAAACTGGATTATATTGGAAAAAATTGCCAGACCGTTCTTTCATTTCCAAAGAAAAATCAATTCCAAGCTACAAGGTCTCAAAAGAATGCATGACCGTTATGTTAGGAGGTAATTGTGCAGGAGAATTTAAATTAAAACCGTTGCTTGTGTATCATGCACACAACTCCCGTCCCCTCAAGATGTGTAATCAAGGCATCTCTTCCTGTTATATGGATGGCTAATCCAAAAGCACGGGTGACTGTTATTTTTGAAGATTGGTTATTTAATCATTTTATCCCAGCAGCAGAAAACAATTGCAAGAAGAGGATTCCTTTTAAAATATTATTAATAATTGATAATGCTCCTGGCCACCCGCTAAACATTGAAAATTTTCACCCTAACGTTAATGTTGTGTACCTCTCTCTGAACACCACGTCTCTTATACAACCAATGGATCAGGGAGTCATTGCAATCTTTAAGCATTACTATATGAAGCATACATTGCAGCAAGCCATAGCTGCAACTGATCCTGATGAGTCATGCACACTTCATGACTTTTGGAAGAAGTATGACATATAAGGTTCTACAGAACATAGCAACAGCATGGAATGATGTTCAGAACATGGCTATGAATGGTGCGGGGAAAAAACTATGCCAGAAATTTGTGAATGATTTCAAGGGGTTTGATAATGTTGAAATCAACAAAATGTTGTTGACCATGAGCAAAGAGCTGGAAATGGAGGAGGAGGAGGATTTCATAGATTTATTTGAAAAAAACAAGCAACCCCTAACAAACGAGAATTTGATAGAGTTCAACAAGCAGCAGAAAAAAAATAAAAAAGAGGAAGTCGAACCTGAACCATATCACTTTCCCCTAAAGAAAATGCAGGAAGCATTTGCTTTTATTGAAAAAGGACTTCAAATCTTCAAGGATATGGTCAACACTTTTCAAAAGTTATGCATGCTTGTCACAAAGCTTTTGCTTCTTATCAATCATGTAATCTTTGAAGAAAACATAGTTCAAGGAACCCTCAACCAGTTTCTTATTAAAAAGCATATCAAACAACAGCCATCTACATCTGCGATGTAAATAAACAAATTGAATGTAAATATTGGTAAATTTAACATAAATTAGTTTAGTTTTCAAAATAATTTTAGTAACTGTATTTGTTATTTAACCTTACAAAATCATTTTATTTTATAATTTCTTAGGGCAAACCACATTCACAAATAAAGAGATCGCCAAATTGTAAACATCTACAAGTATGTACGTACATGTATTCGTAAATTTAGATTACTTTTTTTCTGTACTATATTAAAAACTAAAATTTATTTGTAAGCTTAAAATAGAATCTTATTGACCATATATTATTAAAAATGCATTTATAAATAAAATACAGAACTGGGAATGGTTATTTGTGGTTTAGCCTAGTCACAAGTAAATTCGGGGACAAGTAAATTCAACTAAAGTCATTTTTTGACTTAAGTTGCCCCTCTTGGAACAAATTACCGATGTAAGGCAAGGTATACCTGTATTGCTGTCAAATTTTGACAACTTATACATATATGCAGGATGCACCAAATATTTGAGAAAACCCCACTAGTTGTAAATAGAAAACTAACAAAGGTATGTATGTAGGATGCACCAAATGTGAACTCCCAAATTTTCTTTCAGACATATCCAACTGGACACAGAATATAAGGTATGCATGGTATATGGCACTAACAACTATTGCCACCAAGATAGCTTCTTGAAAGTAACCAGATGAATATTAGAAATGGAAGGTTCCCATAAAAATACATACCTAGTTCACATCATCTGTATTTCTGGAGATTCATTAGCAAGACTAAGACATACCACCCAAGTTTTTCTCACAGGATCTTAGAACCAATGCCTCATCCTACACTGAAGTGATAGATATGGTGGTTAACCCTGTAGTGTAGTGCTGTGGAGGTCACCATATGTACATGTTCCAAAAGGATATATCCATCTACCATGTGAACCAGTAAATTGGCCAAGAATTTTCAATCATGTCCTCTCCAATATGTATCCTCTGAGCTCTCCAGATATAAATCCTGATCATTGTTCACAATTTTTAATAGCAAAGTTTTATAGTTCTTAAACATTTCACATTATTTAATATCTATTAAGTAACTGGGCAGTAATTTCCTACTTTTACAGTTATAAAATAATTTATCACATTTCAAAAAATTGATCATTATAGCAGGCCAAACTTAATATATTTCAAGACACCTGCCATTCAATAAGAATATACATTTCATTAAAAGAATGAGTTTTCAATTACAAACTCCACATTTAGCACACTTAGTTAAAAGGTTTTATAGTATTTAATGTCAGCTTCAAATCATTACATTTTTAACAAACTTAATCTTTATAACTACTATGCTGCATAAGTTACTTAACCAGTACCAAAAAAGCAACCACTACCACATTTGCAAAAATCAATTTTCTGCAATAAGAATCATGGACAGAATGCAATTCTTAGTGAAGTAGTCTCACATTGGCTAGCATTTGATAATGATGACCAGCTTTCAAGCTAGCCTTTTTCAAAAAGCCTAGCCAAAAACAGCAATACTTGAAATAGCAAGCTGTCCCCAGAGGGAATTCATGGTTTAATGTGACCAGATATCACTCTTCATATGTGCAATTTTATAAAAGATTCTTTAATCAAAGAAAGAGCCATGGTTTGGCAATAAACAAAAAAAAAAATTCCGGAGTTAGATGATGATTGACTACATATTGCATCTCATCCTACAATAGTTTGCATCTCATCCTACAATAGTTTGCACCTCAATCTGTAAGACTTGTCCTGGTGAACACCCAGTAGCTGACAATGTTGTATTACTTTAGAGATTTCTAATTTCTCCATTTGCAAAGTATTCACTTTTGCAAATGTGAACAGTATTCTCACTTGAGATCAGTTTTATTTAGTATAATTTGAATTAATATATTTAACGTGTGTATTGAGTTTTTGTTATAATGATTCATTTTTTTCCATTTCAGTTTTGTAAAATTTTAGATTTTTTTTATTTCATTCTTACTGAACTTATTTGCTATTGAGTCTTTAAATTTGTGACTTGCAGTTTTTCACTATTGGAAATCAATTATACACCAATTGAAATTTGTTTTTTTTTCTTAAATAAAAGTGATTTTTCAGAGCCATAACAATCTGAATATTTATTCTTAAAGAAAAAATCTGATTAAAATCCTTCCTCAAAGACATTTACACAATGGAACATTCCATTGTTACCTTCTCTAGTCAGATTCTTTACTTTTACATGTAATTTGTTTTGTGATGTATTTATTTTCACTCTAATTTTGTTTTAATAAATATACAAAAACGAAATTAAGGAAAATTTGAAATCAAAAAAAAATATCAATCCCTCTATACATTCTTTCAATCACAAGACAATTACAACTGCTGCCATATACCTGGTTTCCTTGAATTAAAAAGAAAATGCCAGATCCTAAAAGTACTGTAATAACCAAGTTAAATTTTCTTTTAATCAAATACCAAGATAATTCATTCATGTTTTTCTTTTTTATTACAATTTAGGCAAATCACTGATTATTTGTATCTAATCAAACTAAGATGTAGGTGATGCCACTATCTTAAACTCAAAATGAAAAATGCTACCCAATTTAAAATACAGTAGCCAAATGAAAGCTAATTGATGCACATGTTTATATCACTAATATATTTTGAAACCAGACACTCCAAGCAAACTAAACAGCTATCTTGCATTTGTACACTATTCACAATGCATTGGTTTTTAATTTTCTTGCAAAATCTACTTGAAATTCAAATGAAAAACTCACCTGCAGTTGGTTGGTACTGTATAGAATTTGTAGTTGTTAGATTAGAAGCTGCTTCAGACGTTTCTTGACCGTCCTGACTCTGGTTGCTACTTGATTCTTCTTCTATTTTTATTGATGGACACTCAGATGACAAGTCATTCAAGATTTTTCTGTGAAATATAAAAATCACTGCTAACAATTTTCTTTATCACACTGCAGCTTTTATTCTTTCACCATTTTTTGTTTTTTATTTTTTTAAAATATTTTTCCCAATTTTCAAATTTGCTTACATGAATGCAAGCTTTTTACTATGACTGTTGAGATTTAAAAACCAATCAATATTCCCCCAAACCAGCAAATAAGACTTTAACAACTAGGAGTTTGCAATATGCTCAATATTTTAAAGGTAAGTATCACATAAAAAGATTTCCTTAGAGATTTATAGTTAACCCAGTAAAAATATTTACATATTTATACTGCTTAAAGAAATTGATACATTAGATTTATATGAAAGAAAAAGAAAACATAGAAATTATTAGGCAATTTACTTATCTGCTTGCATCTCAAGTAATAATTTTACAAGCTTAAAAATGCATTTAGCAAAATATTTCAATTTCAAAAAACCTAGTTTCAAATGTTTAAATATAAGTCTTAGAAAATAACACCTCAGGGCATCAAAAGAAGTAAATTTAAAGTATAAATTGCATACACAGGAAAAATTTTAAAATGTGACAAATTTTCAAACTACTTAAACTAAGGAAAAAATTCTATTTTATATTTATAAATATTCACAAAATAGAAATCTGCACCACCATTAAACTCAATGTAGCAAGATACTGATGAAGTTAAGCTTCTAATTCATGAAACAACACAACAAAAGACTACTTCAAAAGGTTTTCACATAATTACTAATAAATCGAGACTTAAATAGCTAAACACAAATCCTCAGCACTAGTTTCCTGAATATTAATTATCCAGCAAATTTAAGATTTTTAGTGATGATGCCAACTGGACAAAAAATGCTTATAGCTATGTTTATAATAACGTTCAGCATGATTCTAAGTGCCCAAATGGTAAAGAACTTATTTCCTTTACAACCTTGTACAGAGTTAACATATTCCTCTTTAAAAACAAATATTTATCATTCAACACAGAGCTAATCAAGAATGAAAGATTATTAAAACTCAATTTTTATTGCAAAATTACAAAAAATTAAGATTATAATATTAACTAAGGCATAAATGTTAACTTCCAATCAGTATTTTTAAAAGGAAGGAATAGAAATCTATCCTCAATAATACACTAATAAAAATAGAAAATAATGTAAATATGCATTATATTGTTTTATCATCAGCCAGATTTCAAATGTCATTACCTTTTAAATACTCCAAACTTATGCATTCTCAAATATTTTTAAACAACAACAAAACAAAGACATGCACAGATAACTGTGTGTTATGCTGGCATCTGTGATTAAAATAAGCACATTAGGCAATCTAACTTGCAGCATACATCTTCCAACAACATGAAATAATACTACAATACAATGCATGAGCAAAACTATACAAATGCTACAAAAATTCTAAGGTGGGAGAGTTGTCACACTAAGATGGATATCAAATATTACAAAACTGTCTAAAAATTAAATTTAAATTATCCAACTTTAAAATTGATTTATTTCATTTTTTAACATAAAAGCAGTATTTGAAATACATGAATTTTTAAAATCTGCATTATTTAATGTTATAAGAATCCTTTAGTCTTAAACTTCTGCATCCAATCTAGATATACAAAATACCAAGAGATTATATAGAGTGCAGAGAAAAAAAAATCCATTTCCTATAACATTTACTTGCTAGTAAGGAAACAGAGGTACATAAAAACTGAAAAACTAGACAAATAACTTGGAACTTAAAACAATTTAAAAGTATAAAGTTTTAAAAGAAATTTCCATCTGTCAGAAACAAAATTATTTTCAACATTCACAAGTAATGTGGACAAGCTATAACCCCTAAAAATTTTATACCATAATACAAGGGAGTACTGAAAAAGTCTTAGCCCTTCAAAAAAAAAAAAACAAACAAAAAAAAAAGTTATTTTAAAGTGCCACTCCTAATAGACACAAGAGACTATTGAACATAAACCCAAAGAAATTTTATTAGCTCACATATAAAAACAATAGATCTGTTTACTACTAGTTAAAAATTCTTGCTATTTTAAGCAGTAGAACATAAAACCATTGTTATATATTATTGCAACAATACTTTAAATCTTAATGCTTGATGAATACAAAAATAAGTTTGTGAAAGCTAAAATGATAAACAGCTTACATATACATGACAGTTGAACAAAATGGAGGTCACAACCAACAATACAAAAATCAACAGTTTATAGCAAACAGAAAAAGAAAAACTGATACACAGAACACCTTAAGCAGGTTTATTCTAGAATTTTGGAAAATGTGAATGAAACTATTTGTTATATATGTACAAAATTTTTGAAAGTAACTTATTCTTCAAAATAAGATTGTCTAGGATTGGGTTTCTGGTTTCTCCCAGTAGCCCTTTGCATCTTAGTGGCATTATGAATTAATATAAAAAAAAAAAAAAAAAGTTCTAGTCTTACTTCTCTCCATTCAGGATTGTTAAAAATAAAAAATAAAATCTAAAATATTGAAGTTACTACATAGAAGTTACCATCACTAAAATCTTTATACAAATTGATGCAAGAGTTAAAAAAAAAAAAAAATTTCATACTTAGTAGTTGAGCATATTACTTTTGAACATTGCTTAAATTTTGTTTCATTTTTTTCACTTATAAGGAAAAAAAAATGCGGAGAGCAAAAGAGAAAAGATCATGCATCAATAAAAACAACATGAACTTGAAATTGTTCATTAGGAGACAACTCACCCCATCCATTTTTTTTAAACAATAAACATGCTCTCATACAAACACATTCAAATCAAGGCATGATTGTGATATGAAAAGAACCCAGCTAACATCATGCACATTATGTCAGTTCACATGACTATTGCCAGATAGGACAACTTATTTGTAGCTCCATCCAACTGTGGCTCTCTGCCAGGAATATTTGACTGCAACTCCTTTATCTGTTGCCCCTCACTTTTCACCAGGGGTTGAAAGATCCTTTTATTTTCCACTCCTCCATTGCTGATGAAATACTTCATTATCAATCAATACAACACAAGAGAAAAACTTTAAATAAAAATTTTAAAAAAAAGGAACTTTTTTTTTCAATTTTAGTGCTAAGCAAGTATTTCATCTTATATTTGTATTAAATACATGAAAATGAACTTATGACAGACATGACCTTTGATTGTAAATTGGCCACCAATTTTGTTAGGTAGCTTTAAATTTATATAAACTATACATGTGATGAAAACATACAGCCATGTGTATATTGATATGCCACCATTCAATTCAGTGCAAAACATTCTACAAGATACATCACTGTTTAGCAAATAATGCATGGGTCAGGCATGGCCAAATTTGACCATAACAACAATAAAGACCAGTGGGATTATTTTCAGACATGGCAACCAATAGAAACAGACAGAAAATTAAGAGAAAAAGAAAAAAGGCGAGATAGAAATGTGTCGAAACCACTTGCGAGAAATTAGGATAAATACCGATATGAGGGTCTCCTAGCTAAAATCTCTCTCCTCTTCCTTCCTTCAGCACCATCTGTCAAATCATCATCTACTGTAGCTACCTGAAAGAAGGTTCAAACAGTTCACATTAGCTGCAGACTGACCAAATAGTTTAGAATTTAGAATTTTTTTTTTTTTTTTGTTAGAATGGTTATTTTGGTGATAAAAATACTCAGAACCATGCAGAACTGTGAAGTATCAGTTATGTATCTTATAAAAATGCATAGACAATAACAGGGCTCTGACTCATGAACATTAATTAGTAAACTATTTTCAAAAATAATACTGAAAATCAACAAGTAAATATTTCAAAATAAAATTTACTGTGACAATTTTATTGGTTTTAATGTACTTTCATGTTTAAAGCTGAATTTTAGAACTGCAATTTAATCTGTTTAAATTAAATATAGCTTCATACAACTTACAATCACTAATGTTTATTAAATCTTTAATCATAAAAATTTGTTGTTTTATGGTTAACATTGGAAAAAGAAAAACCTAAAGAATCTGTTTTAGTGAATATATATATAGACACACATACTTTATTGATCAAGGTACTTTTGTTTAGTGTTTTTTTTTTTGCATTCTTGTATACATACAAGTGTTGCCATCTCTGAATCTAATGTAAAATAATGTTATTAAGAAATTTTTTTCATAAGAGCTTTAAACACATTCCGCAGTTAGATGTACATATCAGATTCACATTCTTGACAAGTATGATCCATATTGACATTTGGATAATTTATATACCAATTTAGGTCCAGAAAAGAAAACACTTGTTAGCATACAAAAAAAAAAAATTAAACAATAGTACATTCTTAGTCTTATTCAGCTAAACATGTATTAAAGAGGGATTGCTGCCCAAATATATGCACTAAAACTACTAATACTAAAAAAAAAAAAAAAAAATTTGGCAGGTCATCTAGCAAGTAAGGTCAGTAGGTAGAACAACCTACCTGTATAGTTTGTACATTGGGGCCGGTTGTCTGTATCACTGATGGTTGATGGCTAGATTGTATAACTGATTGCACCTGGACTGGTTGGTTAGGAATTGTCACATGCACAACAGAGATCTCCTGGGAACCATTTTCAATCTCACTGGACTGTGAGGTTCGGACTTCAGACATTCTCTACTCTGGAAAAAATACAGCACAGAAGGCCATGTCAAAATGAGACCCAACTGATGCAAGAGATCCATGGAAAGGGGACAAATGTGGAGCCCATGCGCATCATCACACAGAGATGAAGTTCTTGTAGAATATTTCACACTGAATAGAGTGGTGGCTGTTTACCTGCAATCTTGGCCAACATCGAAAATTATTACGTCAAAGGTCATGTAGAGGAAAGTTCTGTCCTGTCAAAATAAAGTAGGAATTCTAAATGTAAAAATACTCATTTGATCAACAGAAAGAATTTCAACAATATCAGTAGTGATTAGAAAACACCTCAAAATCAATTTTCCATTCCCAACAATTAGAATGATATGAGTAAGCTGAGTTACAAAATAGTAAATTATTAAATTAAAATTAAAAATATTACGAGAAGGATTTTTTTTTAAACTAAACCCACTGAAATGATCTTCTGGTACCAAAGACAGCAATGAAAACCTCTACTTTGATTAAAAAAAAAAAAAAAAAAATCATGGATGAGTTCAGATTTGATAAGTTTAATCTGTTCAAATAAAATCAGAACTTATGAAAAATAAAGCAATAGTATCTAATTTGAAATTTCATTTGACTGTACAAAATGAAGTCACAAAGTATTCTATAGTTTTACATAATTTTTCACCAATGTAGCTGTGTTAAAAGAATACATGTAGTAGTACTAACAATAACATGCACAGATAATCGGGTAATTTTGATTTCTTATAAAAAGGACCTACCCTAAGGCAATAATTCCAAGCTATTTACAGTTGTTCAAGTGCATCCATTAATATTTCAAGCACTCCATGGGAAACATTGTAAATTCACAAGAAACATGCTTTGTTATACAGCTTAAACAACAGCAACCTTATTTATAACCACTCAAATGTAAATAAAAATGTGTGCAATGTTTCTACTTCTTTTAGAGAAAATATAGATTTTTATACATGTAAATACGATGCTAACAGAAATAGAAACCTTAACTCTACTTACTCACACTACTTAAAGTAAAAAAAAATATAAATAAAGAAAACTACTTAAATTTTTTTTTAACCAAATCGCTTTGTATTTAAATATAGAGTAAAATTAGAATCAATTTCTCAATTGATTCACAAATCAGATGTTAAAAAAAAAAAAAAAAAAAAAAAACACTTGAAACACCTTGTTGCCAGTTTTCTCTTTAAACCAATCACTCAATTCTGGCAAATAACAAAACCTTTATTTTTAACCTATTATCAGCTAGTAGCAGCTGTCATGCTCACCAATCTTATCTTAATCATTGTACTAAGATCCCCCAACTATTGTAATTGGTATCAATAGTAGGGATCAGTAAAATCTCTCTGGGTATGATTTTTTAATTTCATTGCTTGTATTAACTCAAAAATTTACTCTCAACAGAAACTCTTCCACTTGATACAATTGAAATTAATAATTTGGGTAATGATTTGTTGTTAGTTTTTGAACACTAAAAAGATTAACTTCATATAATCACTAAGGAAACAAAAATTGATAAACCTAAAATTTGTACCAATAACAAATACCTAAGAGTAGTAACTCCAAAGATTCACTAAAAAATGAGCATATATGATAAGAAAAAAAATAAAAAATATGCCCAAAACTTAAAAATAAAGTTTATCGTCAAAATCTTATTATTTAGAGGAAAGACCAAAGGATTTTTTAATGCAATTTATTTTAAATCCTTTTTAGAACCTTCGAAATTGTTTAAAATTGTTTTTCTGGCATCAACATGGGTCCAAATGGGAAATTTGAGTTTCTTTTTACAAGGAAAAATTTGATGATTTGGAAATTCTTGCAAAAGAAAGAAAAAAAAATAATATAAAATCATTGCCCAATTTTTTATGAAACTTTCAGGACTTATTCAAAAATGAATGACATTATCTTTATTCATTTATATTCTTTTTAGAAAATCTTAGTAAAGATTTTTTTTTCTTTTTTACATGTTAACCCCACACTTACTTAATTTTATGAAATTTCATGAATTTTTTTGTAGCACTTTGTTTATACTAGCTATAAGGACTTGGAGAATTTAAATCTTCAAATGTTTTTGGTCAAGCAGGACACACAATTACAGAAAGTTTTCCCTGAATTATAAAGTAAAAAAATGCAATAAAACTAAGACATTATTTAATTAGGAAAGCCAATTACTTTTACAAATAAAATATATTATGGACACTATAGTATTATGAAAAAAATTTTCTCTATAAATAATAAATTGTTAAGAGAATTTTTTTTTTTTTTTGCAATTTTAATAATTTATAGTTTTAAATCTTAAAATTCTGTATTAATTGGTAGCTGTGAAGTGATATTGCTATTAAATAAAAACCTTACAATTCAGTGAACTTCAGTATTTAAAAAAAAATTTTTGCAACAAGCATCTTTATAAGTAAGTCTATAAAGCCAAAGTACTTAAAATTCAATAAAATGTTTAAAATGTTTCCAATTGTTAAGATAACTGGATAATTAAAAAAAAAAAAAAAAAGAAAAGGCATTTACATTGTATTAGTTATGTAATTTTATTACAATTATCTCCTTATTTAAATTTACCAAACACCAGAATAATGGTAATAAATGTCTCAACACCTCATAAAAACACTCTCCTCCATGCTTAAAAAATGCTTTTATACAATATTTTAAACTAAATGTATTATTTGTTTCAATTCAGATTAAATCAATGGGAAATCTTTATAACTATCTTTATGGCAGGTAAAACTAGATTGTTTCAAAGATTTGTTTATAAGCTGCAACAAAAGCAAAGTTTTAAAAAAGAAAAAAAAAAAAAAATCACCAAAGACATTTTAAAATATGTAGAGAAATTCAATATTATAAATTTTCTGTGCTTATATCAGTTAAGATTTTTTTAAAATTAGTTGATTAGTATTCTGACAAAATTTCTATACAATTAAGAAAGCTTTATATAATATAATATATATATATTTAGGTACCTCCATGAGATTGCTAAAAAAAGAGCATAGAATGATGAAAGATGCCAAACTTCATGAAAACAAAATTTTATCATCTAAATGCCTATGTTATTAGTAAGAGGAAAGATCAAAGTTTATTTTAATTATTTTAAAAAAATTTTTCCTTCTTTTTAAAACATACTGAATTTTGATTTTAAAAAAAACCTTGTTTCCCTTTGTATCGCCGGAACTAGTAAAATAACATACAATTTTTAGCACATTTTTTTGTATGACACATTAATTTGGAAAATCTTGCAAAAATAAAAACAATTGTTGGATAGTAATGAAACCTTCAGAAACTATTCACAAATGATCAAAATTATTATAAATATGTTTTTTTTTTTTTTTTTTTATTAAAGTCATGGCAGAAATAATTTTTTTTTAATAATTATTACTCCTCCCGATACCTAATTTTATGAAAACACTAGAAATTCGATAACGTCAGGTTTAGTGATTACAATAGTTAAAAGCACAAGGCTGTGAGGAATGCAAATCATGTATTTTTTTTTTTTTTTTTAATTGGACTGAAAATCAGCTCTTAATTGTACAAAACTCAATAAAACAAATATATTATTTAATTTCAAATGCTTTTATTTGCTTTTCGTTGTTTTTATAAATATGGACAATATTTTGTGAAAGCAAAAAAATCTTTCAATGAAAAATGTATTTTTAATACAATTATTTATTTCTTTAATTATAATAGATTTTTACATTTAAGCTGTTAAAATATTATAAAATTAGTTAAAAGCCGCATTTAGTTTCGTAAATGTCCCCTTGAGATAGCGCATTGTAAATTGTATCGTTTTGACTAATCAGAAGATCTGCAGTAATTAAGAAATGTAATTTTGTGTTTATAATACGGCTGTAATTATAAAGTATGAAAGACCAACCAGAAACAATTAAGTTAGTTAAGTTAAGCATTGTTCTCCACTGTTAAGGCCTTTACTTTTGCGAAACACGTGGAGAAGTTAATTTGATTTTTCAATTTCAACTGAGAAGGTTACCTACAAGTATCAGTATCATCTTATGAAATTTATATGATCTTATTTTTATATTAATCTCAGTTAAGACATTTTTCCATAAATGAAATATCAAAATTAATAATGAAATGAATGGAAATACAAATAACACAGTAAAATGTAATAAATGTACATAAAATTATAGTATTTTATGTACACTTCTGATAAAATTTCATAAGAAAGGTACCTATAGATTAATTAGATACCTTTCTTATGAAATATGAAATTTAATCTCACTCTAAACAGTCTTATTTTAATTTCTTTAGAATATATTTTCCATAAAGCATCGTAAACGTAAAGGTGAAAGCTAAGTACAAAAAAAATTTAGAGCGTTTCCTTAAAAATAACAAGGTAAATAATTTGTTCACTTAAATGTAAATAATTTCACTTTTCTCCTTCCATAGAACAAATTATCCTCACAGAATCCATCAATGTCATTCATCACCTGTCAAGTGAGGCGAAATTTTATGACTTGCTTTGTTTTATTTTCAAATTACATCTTTTAGGGGCAGAAGCTAAGTTAAGCTGGGTTCAAAATATTTTAAATAAACATTATAATTTATGATTTTCTTAAAATAAGCTTGGAAAAAATGATAATTGATATTTAAAAGCATTTCAAAGTGAGATTATCATTTTTTTTATAAAATGGAAAAAAATGGTTGCCACCTGTCAATTTTGCTGACTCAAAAAAAAATAAAACAAGATTTTTAACAAAAATTTCAGATGTGCTAGGGATGATTAAAAAATGTAAAAAATACCCCCAAAATACTTTGATCTTTCCTCTTAATAATAACAAACATTTAGATAAAATTTTTTCGTCAAGTTTGGCGTCTTTTTCATCATGCTATACATACATACACACACATCCCTGAAAGCCTACCCTTTAAATTCAGTCATTGAACATTGTACAATTTCCAGGTTTAAATACAAAATGCAATATAACACTCAAGAAATAAAATATGCCCCTCGAGAAAAAATATTCACCAAAACAGTTTATATATCCCATGCATTAGTTGCAGCAAATACAAGGAAGAAACTCGTTGACTCATAGAAACGATTTGCATACAGAAAAATAATTTTAAAGTGACATCACAATATATTTATGGTCTAACCAATGTCCTCAGCTTTGTTGCTACAAATGCAATGTTTTAGCCAAGTCCTTCAGATGTGTGTCAAGCCAGGTACCCTTCAGGGAACTTCAAACTGAACCCT